CCTTGGTGTTATCATCACCACACTCTCCCAAGTGAGCCACAGGCTAGCCCTCCATACTCCATTTTATCTATTCGTGGATATCAGAGAAAGCTTCTAAGTACATAGCTCTGTTAATGTCAGTCCATTAATGAAAAAAACTTTGACTAGTCTTCAGACAATCTTTATCTCCTAGCACGTTAGGTGGTAAAAAAGATTATTTGAATTAAAATAAATCCAAGCCATGAGTATTCCTATACTTTCCCCAGATATCAACCAAACTATATTATTTACTGTTTTACAAAATATCTAGAAATTTTCTGCCCTCTTGCCATTTATTTTTACCAAAATGACCCTCCCTATAAATCTGCCAGAATCCTACTATTTTGAGGCACAGCAAAAACGCCATCTACTTTATAAGTCTTAGTCATCCCATCTCAAACCAGATTTCCCTTTTCTGAATCCCCAAAGATGTTTCAAAACTATCATAAATCTTAAAATATATGTATTTTACATATTAAAATAAATTATTTGAACTTTGCTATAGTTTGAATATTCCCCCAAAACTCATATCGAAGCTTGGTCCCATTGTAACAGTGTTAAGAGGGTGGGAAATTCGACTCCGCTGTTTGGAACATGGGAGCCTTTGGGAGGTGATCAGATCATGAGGGCTGTCCCCTCATGAGTGGATTAGCTCACTCATAGATTAATGTGTTAATGGATAAATGGGTTATCACGGAGTGGCACTGGTAGCTTTATAAGGAGAGCAAGTGAGTATGTTAACCCGTTCTTGCCCCTTTGCCATGTGATGCCCTGCGTTGCCTTGGGACTCTGCAGAGTTCCTACCAGGAAGATGGGCATCACCAGATATGATCCCTTGACCTCGGACCTCTCAGCCCCCAAACTGTAAGAAATAGGTTCCATTTCTTTGTAAATTACCCATTTTCAGGTATTCTTTTATGAGTGACAGAAAACAAACTAACACAACCTTTCCTCCCCACTTTCCATCATATAAGCTGCCCTTGGACAGTGCCATATCACTACCTCTGTTACGTCTCCCATAGCACCTCACTTCATGCTTTGCAGGTGTATAGTTAATAAACTTTAGAAAGAAGGATATAATCCTATGTATGGGATTCCCTTTCACAGTCTAACTTTGTAGAAATCATCAGTGCTATTTTTTTCTGTTCCTCCAAGTGGTGATGATCATGGCCATTATGAGAAGCATTGTAATGAAGAGCAAAGACTCTGAAGTCCAACTCTCTGGGTGTACATCCTAACTCTGCTGCTCACTGGCTGTGTGAACGTCACTTAACTTCCCCCGACTCAATTTCCTCAGCTGTAAAATGGGGATTACAATAGCATGTATCTCCTAGGGTTGTTTGAGGATTAGCTAAATCATTATAAGCAAAGCATTTAGATTTGTACCAGATGTTAAAAGAAAAACTTTAGATAAATTAATGGAGTTTAATTGAGCAAAGAATAATTTGCAAATCGGGCAGCCACCAGAACCAGAATAGGTTCAGAGTGACTCCGAGGCTGCTGTATGGTTGACTAAGATTTATTTATTTTATTTATTTATTTTTTTTAAGATGACCGGTAAGGGGATCTCAACCCTTGGCTTGGTGTTGTCAGCACCACGCTCAGCCAGTGAGCAAACCGGCCATCCCTATATAGGATCCGAACCCGCGGCCTTGGTGTTACCAGCACCGCACTCTACCGAGTGAGCCACGGGCCGGCCCATGACTAAGATTTATAGACAGGAAAAGGAAAGTGCTATACAGAAAACAGAAGTGAGGTACAGAAACAGCTGAATTGGTTACGGCTGGGTGTTTGTCTTACTTGAATACAGTTTGAATGGTTGGCTGCCTGTAATTGGCTGAGACTGAGTTACTCATTACAAGGGTAGATCACTGTCTGTTTGCACATAAAGTTAGGTTACAGTTCACCATGTCTGGAGAAAGCCTTAGGCCAAACTTAATTTAACAACTTCCCCTTTTGGTCAACCTCTCAATTTTGAGAAATTGACCAAAACTTTATAGGTACACCATCACTCTATGTTACCACTATAAATGGATTTATTTGGTGTCAAATTCCACTGGGATATAGCTGAATAGTAGGTTTGATAATGTGGGATCAAGGAAACAGAACAATAGAAAAAAAACTGATTAGCATCACGTTACTTTTTCTTAAGTGTTAGAGCAGAGGGGACTTCGTTATTAGGCCGGAATCTCTTGTTTTCAGGAGAAAAAGAAAACTGGTCTGTTTTGAGATCTGCTTTCTTAAAGTTTTAGTTTTATTGTGTGGTACTTAACATGAGTAATTCCATTTTGGTTTGGTCTGATCTGCTTGGGACTAGGTCAGGAGTTCTGTCCAAAATAATGGCCTCCTGTACTCGTTTAACATAGGTACATAGTAAGCACTCAGTTACTGCTACTACTACTTATGCTACTATCATAATCATCAGATTTACTTATAAGCCAGATGGAACCCTGAGCTTTCATAGCCTCAGAAGATGTCTACTGTAGGAGTAAGCCTAGAGAGATAATCCTGGAAATATTCTTATAGTTCACATAGGAAAAGAATAATGTTGGGCATTTAACCCCTGTTTTGAATAAAACAAGAGGGGGGACTAATTTATATTAGTGTAATTCATGCAAAAGTATAAACCAATGCTAAGCTTTTTTTTTTAATGGAATATCTGATTTTGGAGACAAGTATTTTTGATGTATGAAGAAAAGTTACTTCAGGAAGATTTAGAAGTCAGTCTGTGATTTAATAAGATCCTGCTATGACACAAATAAAAAGTTACAAATAACCTTGTTAAGATCCCTTGGTAATACAATAAACAGAACCATTTCAAGTTTTAATGGAAGAGTAGAAAATAGCCACACCCAAAATATACTCTGAATAAGTCAGCAAATAGGAAATATTTTCATTCGTTCAGCAAATATGAACAGCTATTGAGTATCTTGCACAGTTTTAGTTGTTAGAGAAACAAAAGTGGAGAAAACATGAAAATCCCTACTTACATAGACCTTACATTCTGGCTTTTGATGATAAATATAAAACTACATAATATTTCAGAAGGTAAAAAGTTCTATGTAGAAAACTGAAGTCAGGGGGCCGGCCCGTGGCTCACTCGGGAGAGTGCGGTGCTGATAACACCAAGGCCCCGGGTTCGGATCCCATATAGGGATGGCCGGTTCGCTCACTGGGTGAGCGTGGTGCTGACAACACCAAGTCAAGGGTTGAGATCCCCTTACCGGTCATCTTTTTGGAAAAAAAAAAAAGAAAACTGAAGTCAGGAAAGGGAACAGGGAGTTCATAATGGAAGTGGAGTTTGCAGTTTTAAATTGGGCAGTCAGTGAAATCCTCACTGCTAAGGTGACACTGAAGCAAAGATTGAAGGAAATGATGAGCAAGCCATGAGGGTGTCCGAGGAAAGAGCATTCTGGGCAGAAGGAGCCCTGAGCGAAAGGCCTGAAACGGAGGTGCGCTGACACATGCATCCCATGAGCAGCAGGGAGGCCACTGTAGCTGGCAGCAGTGGAATAAGAGGGTGAATAGTAGCAGGTGAAGTCAGGGAAGTAATGGGATGTGGTACAGGTGTGAGGTTGTGGCTGTTTCGGCCATTTTAAGGACGTTGGCTTTTATTTTGACTGAAATAGGGAGCCACTGGAAAGTTTTAGGTGTAAAAGAGTGTTGCTGTCTGACTTGCGTTTTGAAAGAACCACTCTGGATGCTCTCCATAGAATTGATTATAAAAGTATCACTTCACTAATAGTTAGGAGGCTGTTGAAATGACCTAGGCCACAGCTAATAGTGGCTTAGACCAGAGCAGCAGCAGCGGAATTTTAGTGGGAAGTGCATCTCAGATCTGCATCTCTTTCACAAGTAGATCCCGATGCATTTTCTAGGGCAATGTAACGTACATAGTGGGTAACAGCACAGACCCTGCAGCCGAGCTATCTGGGTTCAAACACTGGTTCTGCTACTTTTTTACTTTTTTATCTTGGACGGCTTAAATTCTATATGCTTTGGTTTTCTTAGCTATAAAATAGGGATAAGGCTGGCCGGTTAGCTCAATTGGTTATAGTGTGGTGTTATAACAAGGTCAAGGGTTCAGATCCCTATACCAGTCAGCCACCAAAAAAATAAAATATAAGAGGATAAGTAGTAATACCCATCTTGTAGTGTGGTTATAAGAATTAAACAATTTACTAAACATACAAAAGATTTAGAATAGTGCTTAGCACATAGTAAGTAATATACTATATGTATTCGCAGCTATGATTATTAATTTTGTTGTTAATTGGTTAGGGTATTTGAGAGAAAAAGGAGTCATGATGACACCAAAGCTCTGGATGTGAGCAAGTGGATCAACAAAGTCGCCATGAACTGAGATAGGGAAGACTGCAGGAGAAGCCTGTTTGGGGGATATCAGGGGCATAATAAATATGAAAGTTTTAGACACCCAAGTAGGATACTGAGTAGGTAGTTGAATATATGAGTCTAGAATTAACAGGTGTATGGGCTGGAGAGCTATACATTTATAATTCATTGACAAATAAATTATTTTTAAGAGCAAGAAGACAGCCCCTCCTTGGAGCCTCTACTTCTCACAAGCTACCTAACAAGTCATGATAACCAGTTCAGGGACAGCCAGATTATCACATCCCTCATTGAGCTTTTCAGATTTTTTTATTATTTAGAATTTTGTTTTATCAAAATTGCTTGAAATAAATAGGATTAAGCTAAGGCTGAGAAATCTTTCGTTTTAATGAGACTTGTGTCATAAAAGTATTTGTAGCAGGAATTAATTTATAAAGGGGAACTTACTGGCAGTTTTACAGTCAAATTGGCTTATCTGCACATACATTTTATACGTTTTAAAATTCTCAGCAGTGTAAGCATGTTTCTGTGTCACCTTCTCTTTCTCCTGATTAGTACATGCTCAGAGAATAGAAAACAGTTTTCAACAGTTAGGAAACTTGGATCATCTGTTCCAATTGTTCGTTAGCATGTCCTCCTATGACATTCTTAACATGCAGGTATGAAGTCTGCTTGGATACTTGTACTGGCACATGTGAACTGATAATTTGAAAACCCCCAGTGAAGTTGAACAGTGTATCTCCTTTTCTTCAGTATATGTCATTTATCTTTTAGTTGTCAGGGAGTGATCTTTCCCTTAAAATCTGTTACTCATCTATAAAATAAATTTTAACTTGATGACCTCGTAGGTTTCTTCCTAGCTCAAAGAATCTGTGCTTATAAAAATAAAACCCATAACAAAGCAGCATGTTGTTGTCTACTTTTATTATCACAACTAGGATTGCAGGCTCCTTAGGAGCATCATATTTTTTTGTACCTCCGATGCCTAGCATAGGCCCTGTACATAGCGGGTATTCTGTAAAGTTTTGTTATAATGAGAGTACATCATCCAACCAGGCTCATGGGGATCCATGAAGTCCAAACATCAGACCCTGAAGTATACCTGGCAGTGCTAATTCTTGATGATGTTTGTTTCATATAAGCTGGGAAATCAGTCCTCCTGTGACAAAACAATTTGGAGCAGTAACTCTCGATCCTTTGAATATTTTGCAGTTGGATTGGAACAGGGTGAGCCGGATAGGATGGTAATAATATAAACTGATACTCAACCCAGTCAGTAGTTTTTCCTCAGCAGCCTTGGAAAGAAGAGTAACATTTTTGGAAACTATTTTTACAAAAATTTTGGAGTTTGTTCTATTTGTAGTAACATAGGCTCAAGCACTGCATGACATGTGAGACCCAGAAGGATCATGTGAAGGAGATGCTGGTGAGCATTTATAGCAAACAAATAGTAAACAAACATTTCCCAGTTATCTTCTTTGTACAAGACATTGTGCTAGCTTCTTGGGGTACAAAGATGAATGTTACATGATCTCTGCCCTTAGGAACTTAAGTCAATGGAGGCAAGACACCCAAACAATCATTTCAATGTAATGTGATACAGTGATAGAGAAGCATGTATAGGATATATGGGAATATTGCTGTAAGGGAAGAAGCACTAATTCAGCTGAGAGAGGGAGGCTATCAGGAAAGATTTCCTAGAGGAGGTTACATGTGGAGTTAGTCTTGAAGTCTGAATAGGCGTTAGCCAGAAAAAGAAAGGACAGCATGCCCTAGCCTGGCCAAGGGAACTGTGTGAAACAGCATGCCATGTCAGAAGAACCACAAGCAGCTGTGACCCTTAGCCTCTATGGATTTAAATTTGAGGTTTCCATTATTCCCAAATGATCCATGATATAGTTGTTTTGTCATCTTGCTGAGGCACCTGGTAGGATCGTTAGCTACATAGCTGGTGAGCAAACCTACCCAGAATTCACATTAAAGGAGTATGGCCTCTACTCATCCTCGCATATGTAGTGTCACCCACGAAATGATTTTAAACTTTATTCTTTATGGAAAATGGACCTAAAAAGTACTGGTGGTGGAAAAGAAAAAGGGGCCTTAAGTGATTCTTAGTAAATAAATAAAGTTTGAGACAGACTATAGTGTGACCAGGATTGTCATGAGTATTATTTGTGTATCAATGATTTTTCAAACTTTACAGAAATTAAGTAATAAAACATCTTTATCTTTTATTTTTCTAAGCAAAATTTCTCTACCTGTGTAAAATAGATGAAAACAGAAGCAAGTAGGGTTTCCAGGAACCCTGCTCTCTTGGCTCCACTATTTCCCTCTGTGGTGGTCCAGACACATCTTCATACAACCTAAGGCTGTTTTTTTTTTTTTTTCCTTTTTGTCTTTTTTACTGACCGGTAACAGGATCGCAACCCTCGGTGTCGCGCCCGTACCGGGGACCAGCAGCGGGAGCGCTGCCACACTCCCAAGTGGCGCACTCTCCAGTGTGCCACCGGGCCGGCCCCCTAAGGCTGTTTTGTGTAATCAGAGTTCTGTGTAAAAATGTGGAAAAGTGATTCCCGGAATTTTTATGAAGTACTCCAACTGTACAGGAATTATTTATCGCGGGAGCTCTGCCACACTCCCAAGTGGCGCACTCTCCAGTGTGCCACCGGGCCGGCCCCCTAAGGCTGTTTTGTGTAATCAGAGTTCTGTGTAAAAATGTGGAAAAGTGATTCCCGGAATTTTTATGAAGTACTCCAACTGTACAGGAATTATTTATCAAGTGAGAGAAAATTATTGTGACGACTAAAAGGACCTCTTTTTGGACTATAGTCTGAATTTTCGTTTTAGCTCCAAAACAGAAAGATGAAATATGTAGAGAAAAAGTTTGCTGGCTGTGGGCTAGTGGAATGAAGTTCATTTTTACTTTCTACTATCACCTATCCCCTTGAGATCACCTCTCCATTCCACAGTGCAGTGCCAGTGCAACAAACTAAACACCAGTCAGAATTGCACATGAGGAAACTGCTCAACAGAGATATGTGTGCAGTGGTTCGATATGCACATGCCATTTCTACAGTCAGTGGAGATGGGTGAAAGAATTGTCATGATGAAGATATACTTTCTGCATAAATGTCTGTTAGACTTAGGCTTCCTTCTTTCTTTCTTTCTCTGATAGGAATGAGGTATGGGGAGTTGTTGGTGAAGGCAAGCCTTGAGGAGATTGTTTTAGTCCGTTTTGTGTTGCTATAACAGAATACCTGAAACTGGGTAATTTATAAAGAAGAGAGGTTTATTTGGCTTACGATTCTGGGACAGCTGCATCTGGCACGGGCCTCAGGCTGTTTCTACTCATGGCGGAAAGTGGCAGGCAGCCAGCGGGTACAAGTAGATCACATGGCGAGAGGAAGCAAGAGAGAGAGAAGGTGCCAGGGTCTTTTTAAGCAACAA